GGGGGGGGTCCCCGCGTGGAACCGGGGTATGGATGTCACAGGATCCCGGGGTGCTGGGGGGGTTGGAAGGGACCCCTGGAGATCACCCATCCAACCCCCCTGCCAGAGCAGGACACCCTAGAGCAGATCCCACAGGAACACATCCAGGTGGGGTGGGAATGTCTCCAGGGATGGAGACTCCACAGCCTCCCTGTCCCAGGGCTCTGCCACCCGAACAGTAAATAAACATTTTCTTATGTTAAAATAGACAGAAACAGCCCTGCCTGCCATTTGATGAGGCTTAGCTGCAACCCCGAGGTGCAGGAGAGGGCAAAACAGTGTCCTGGCAGTGGGCTGGGAAATTGGGAAGAAAAAATAACTCCATGAGCAGGGCACTGAGGGTGGAATTGCACTTAATTGCTTTAGGCCGATGTTGATATGAAAGATGAACCTTCTGAGCAGGCCCTAGAGATGGGAGCTGCTGAGGCTGCAGTGAAGAGTGATGTGAGGGGAAGGGAGACAAGTCTGCTCATGATTTTACTGTCAAGTGAGAAACCTTGGAGAGGACAAGGACCCTCAGCCTCTTTTAGTTTGACAACATGAGGGGACATGTGTGTTTCCTTGTTAACATTTCAGGGTCAAAAACAGGTTGGGAAAGGAACGAATTAAGCAGAAAAACCCTGAACCCCCCAGTATTGTTAAAAGAAGAAACAGGCATAAAATGGCTACTGATATTTTTAAGATGGACATTTCTAATCAGGAGAACAACCAGGCCCTGAAAGAGCAGAGTACTAGTTTAACAGATGATTTATTTTTCTTTATATATAAGCCTTAAGAAATCCTCCTGTCTTCAGCTCCTACCATGCTTCTCTGAAATAAGAACTGAAAAATAAAACAAAATGAGGCCTTTTTTCAGCCAGCTTTCCAGGAGAAAGTTGATTCTGAGCTGTGGACTGTCCCTTCGGGCCCCCTTACAACCAGCCAGCAGCCTAGTTGGCTCTCTGGTTTTCATAAGATTTTTCTGCCCAATGGCAAAAAATATTCTGGTCTTCTATGTGTTGTCAGCTGCCTTTCTGCTTTGCAGCACCTGCAGTTCTTGAAGTTTCCCATCATGAGGGAAACCAGATTTATGTGCCACCAGAATGTGGTTTTTTTCATTATTATCTTCTGTTGGCATGTGAGGATCAAGCAGTTGTTTCAGGTTTACATCCACGTTTTTCTTTAAAATAGCTTTCACAAGGTGGGCTAGAATCTGAACAATGTATTTCCAGTTATGCAAAGGATGAAGAAAATTACTGATTTCTTTGGTTTTCCCCCATTTCCAGGGTGTCACTGAAGGCTACAATGGCACCATATTTGCCTATGGCCAGACTGGCAGTGGGAAGTCATTCACCATGCAGGGAATCATGGAGCCTTCCACACAGAAAGGCATCATTCCCAGGGCATTTGAGCACATTTTTGAGAGTGTACAGGTAGGTGTATAAGAGATGCTGTTGTAAGATGAAGTGAGATCAGGGAAGACTATTTTTGTCACAGCCCATGGGGTGAGTGCTGATCACAGTCAGGAGCAAGAGTGAGGACATGCTTTTGGGTTCACTGCCTCTCACCCCAGAGCTGAGGCCTCTATGTAGTCAGATGAGCTGCACCCTCCTCTCATAGGATGTGTGGGGTTGCGAGGGACCTTGAAAGGTCCTCTAGTCCAGCTTCCCCCCCGGAGTGCACAGGGACCTTTTTTACTTGATCAGGTTGCTCAGAGCCTGGCCAAGCCTGACCTTGAATGTCTCCAGGGACGGGGGCTCCACCACCTCTCTGGGCAACCTGCTCCAGTGCTTCACCACCCTCATTGTAAAGAACTTCTTCCTGATCCAATCTACATCTCCCCTGCTCTAATTTAAGGCCACTGCCTCTCATCCTATCCCTCCCTGCCCTTGTCCCAAGCCCCTCCCCAGCTTTCCTGGAGCCCCTTCAGGCACTGGAAGCTGCTCTAAGGTCTCCCTGGAGCCTTTTCTTCTCCAGGCTGAACACCCCAACTCTCCCAGCCTGGCTCCAGAGCAGAGCTGCTCCAGCTCTTGGGTCATCTTTGTGGCCTCCTCTGGACTCACTCCAACAGGTCCATGTCCCTCTTGTATTGAGGACTCCAGAACTGGACACCGTTCTCCAGGTGGAGTCTGAAGAGACCAGAATGGAGTGGCAGAATCACCTTCCTTGACTCACACTTGAGATGTTGAAGGGCTGAGAATCCCTGCAGTGAGTCTGTTGAGTGCTTACACGTGGGGACTCAATGCCAGGAGAGATGTGAAGGAGAGCTGAAGGGAGGCAGGCACCCAGCTGGCACTGGGGATCTGTGTGGGCTGCCTACTTGCCTTCATTTGAAGAACCTTACCCCCAGAATTGTTCCTGTTTTCTGCAGTGTGCTGAAAATTCCAAGTTCTTGCTGAGAGCTTCCTACCTGGAGATTTACAATGAAGACATACGAGACCTTCTAGGAGCTGATACCAAGCAGAAGTTGGAGGTGAGGTGGAGCCAATGTGTCTTAATTAGGAAGTGCTTTAAATTGCTCAGATAAGTGTTATCACAACTGCCTCACAGGAGTGCAGTAACACGCTCTGTCAGAAGCTGAACTGCAGATGATGAAGATACAGTGATGAACGTGGAAACCAAGAGGAGATTTTGAGGGACTTGAGTGCAAGTTCAGTGGCAGAAGGAACAGGATCCAGTCCCATGTGTCCCAGCCAGTAGCTCAGCAGAAGCTGCGTGCAAATCATTACTGGACAAGATTGGAATAAAGAGCTCGGGGGGGAATTCCTTCCTAATGGTCTTCACCTCACAGCTGTCTCTAAAGCACAAGGATTTTGTACCTTGAAAATGTTGAATCTGATCCAGGGTAGCTGTAGATTATCTCATCTGTCTGAAAGAAAAAAAGCTGATCCTTTTTTGAGGGGACAGAGCAGATATTCCTCCCCCTGGGAACACACAGGGAAGGTGGGTGGTTTCCAGAAGTGCAGGAGGGCGAACTTTCCTGAAACCCTCATCAGGGCTCTGGTTTTGATGGAATTCACCTCTTGGCTTTGCAGATCTTTTTTGCACTTATTCCCGGGGGGAGCTGCAAATTGCCTGTCCCAATTTACTTCCCTGCAGGATTGCCCTGGTGAGGAAAACTGAGGCACCAGCACCATCTGCTGCACGGCCCTGCCGGGATGGGGACAGACCCGGGCAGGGCAGGTTTTCTGACCAGGCTGGGAGGCAAAAGCCTTTCCCGTTCCAAGCCTGCTGTGCCAGCGTGTGTGCGGAGGGAGGGTGGGAGATGGGATTCCTGTTCGGGAAGGGCTTGCTGCAGTTCCCCAGCCTTTGTTCCACCGCGGCGGTGACACCGGTTTCCATGACAACCACCGGGAGGGCAGGAGTTGGGCAGAGCAGTTTCCAGGGTAACACCCCACAGCGATGGCAGCCGCTGCCTGTTGCCTCCACCGAGTTATTCAGGAGGCATATCCTGCCGGGACTGAAAACCCTCCTGCTTCCTCCCGTGCCCCTCGGTTCTCCTCCAAAATCCCATTTCCAGTTGCTCCTTTGCCTTTTCAGTGTCAGTGACTTGGGTGTCTCTGAAACCCACAAACACGCGCTGTGGAATGGAACCCTGTGGAGAGCAGGCTTGGTGGAGCTCTGCACAGAAAACACCCGTGTCATTCTGTCGTGGGGTTAAACAACAGCCATGTCCTTGGTAGGGTGTTCCTCAGGGACTCTGCAGCACCTCAGATACAGCCAGGCCAGTGCAGGGTTTTCCTGTAGCACAGGCAACAGTCACCGTGTGTGAGTGGCCTGGCTGTGCTCCTGTCACTGCATTCACCCTGAGCAAGTCACAGCTTTAGAACAAGGCTAAAATCCTGCCTAGCTGAGTGTTCAGCCAGTTCTGCCCTGTTCTGTGCAGGTTTTTGAACAGCAAACACTCCCATTTTATGTTGCCTCTTGTGGCACAAGCATTGCTGAACTATCTGAGGGTCTTCTTTGAAAGGTCCAAACGCCGTGTCTGTCACACACCTGGGCACAACCACCATATCTGACATGATGAAGGGGTTTCAGTTACAAGCTCAGCAGCTGTGGCACGTAATATCACTCTTGAAAATGAATTCAGCTTCTTTAAAATTCCCAGTGTGGAGGGGGTTGGTGTGGGAGTGCAGGGACCTCTCCGTGGGTTTGTATTTGTTACGTAGTTTTGAGGGATGGTTCAGGATTTTGATTTTTGCGGCCATGTATGGATGAGATTTTTCTTCTGCATGACACATAACTGCTGCAGAGATGTTGTTAGGTGTTTAACACTCTGTCTCTACCCAGGTGCCTGAATAGGACTCTAGAGCATCTTAAAAATGAACTGATCTGGAGAAGAATTAATCTAGTCTGCCCATGCGTGGTGGGTGGGACTTTGTGGGGAGGTTTGTCAGGGAGATCACGACGCCCGCTCAGAGCAGAGGGGTTCAGCAAAGCTCCCCTAACAGTATCTGTCACTGCTGAATCTGTACTTTAGTTCTAAAAAAGCTCCCTGTGACTGAAGAGATCTTGGAACCTTTGCCATAATGGGTGAAACACGTTTCAGTTCTTGTTTTTAAAACATGCAGCTTAACAACAGGGGAGGTAGAAGGCGGCTCAGCACGGGTTCCTGTGGCCTGGGAGATGCCTGAATCAATCAGCACACCTTGGATATTTTGTCTGCAGAACCTCTTTTTGTGTCATTTTATTCCCCCCTCAGAAATACTAAAGCTTCTTGGTGGCACCCACCTCTGTTTCTACCCTACTGCAGTAGATCTCCTTTACATGCCAAGCTCCCAGAGCCCTCAAGCTTCCAAAGAGTTTCCAGCATGACTTCCCACTGCCTGGGTGCATCCTGTTCTAACCTGTCTTGCCTTGTGCCTGTCTGCAGCTGAAGGAACACCCGGAGAAGGGGGTGTATGTGAAGGGGCTGTCCCTGCACACCGTGCACAACGTGGCACAGTGTGAGCAGATCATGGAGATGGGCTGGAGGAACCGAGCCGTGGGTTACACCCTGATGAATAAGGACTCTTCCCGCTCCCACTCCATCTTTACTGTCAATATGGAAATCAGCACTGTAGGTAGGTGGCTGGGTGTCCTGGCAGAGCACAGGGGCTATGTGGTCTGACCAGTCACCCCACAGCAACACGTAGATGATACAGGATTTTGAGTCCTGTAGAAATCAGAGTTGTGCCCTGAGATGGACCTTCTGCACAGTGTGAAGTGGCTGAGTATTCAAAGTCTTTTATTTCCTCCATTCCCCTGTGGGAGAGAAAAGTCTTACCCTCAAACTCGGATTGTATTTAACTCTCCTTCCATTTCTTTATCTTCTCAAACCGTTATGTCCAGCAAAGAGGGCTGAATCTCACAGCCCACTCGATGGAGTTCATTTTTTATACAGCCTGGACAAACACATCATTACCTGTCTTGTCTGAGCTCCTTCACACTGCAAGTCCAATCATTTCACCCAACGATCCTTCACTGACCTTAACCACAGGGCACATCTTTTAAAGATGGAATAACAGAACCCCTTAATAATGTCTTAATGACTGATTTTCCTTTCTGAAGTATCTCATCTCCACTGGTGCTTCTTTAGCTGATAAAGCTGCCTCACTGAGTCTGAACATGGACCTGAGTTTTTTCTTATGACTAAGAAAGGAATTAGCCTCCTATGTTCTGTCTAGTCCTTGCTCTCTCCAGGGAACAGTTTGGCCCTGTTTTGTTCAGCTGCTTCAGTCAGGGGGAAAGTTACACAATGTCCTCCTAAATTATGGTTCCAGATGTTGGTGACAGTGCCTCATTTTCCTCTATCCAAAATGGTGTGTGTGGGATTTTGGGAATGTCTCAATTAGCACAGCTGGTGGTTCCTAATCCTTTTATTATGTGGGTCCATAAACTCCCAACTTCAATCACAAGAAGGAAAAAGAATTATTTACTCTCCTCTTTTGTGTCCCATATGGTGCAGGGCTCTTAATCTAGCTTGAAACAATTTATTTGATTTAAAGCTTTGAAAAATTGTTACACAGAACAGGGTGAGAGGTGAGAAACTTGCAGTTTTGGCAGTTAAATGGAAGACAGCTGGGATATTAGAGGAGAAAGTTGAGGGTTCTGGCACAGTCCCTGCAGCTGGGTGGTTCTACTGGGGTAATCATTAGTTGAAATAGTTAATGAAGTTGGTATTTATGTTGTCATCTTTAGGCTTTATGAAGATGTGCATGGGGAAGTTTAAGCTGATTTTTCAGTTGAGCTTGTAGTAAATTATAATTTATAGGGAGCTGATATTTGAAAGGAGCTCTTTGCAATTAAGTGGACTAAATTACTTTTAAAAGTAACAGAGTCAGGAATTATGGCAAACACTGGGTTTGAAAGGCCTGTGTTACCATCAGTATTTTTACTGTATTTAGAGCAGCAGATATTTATTTTGTTATTTTATTTATGTTGTGCTTAGGGATTGATTTGTCAATGAGAAGGATGGTGTAGATTATACCACCAACACTGGCCAGCAGACTGGACAAGGAAGAGATGGGCAGAGAGATTTTAGCAGGAGTCTGGGGACATTGGCACACCATGGAAACATGCTAAGCTCCCAGATGGAAACAAACAGCCCCTGTGGGTAAAAGGACTAGTGTAGTGGAGCCAAAACAACTTCTTAATTGCTTATCAGTGTTTACATAAACTGGAGGAGGAAGGGA